CCGGGGATAATAAGCTTGGTGAATTAATTAGACACTAAAAATTTATTATTTACTCTGTGTATAATATATTATATAGGTATTAGAAAATTACAATAAATTTTGCATAAAAAACTTTTTAAAGTAGTTTTTGTGTCACAAACTGATTGCGAAATCCTTTAACACATATAAAAAACACTTCCTTTTCTTAATGTGTTTTTGTTTTTTATATACAAAAAAAGTCTTTTGTTTTCACACTTATTATTATTCTTCCGTCACTTTCGTATTAATGAGTATTAAATGAAATGCACTGCAAAAAGCAATATTAGACACAAAAGGCTATGTGCCTCGGTAATTAATTTAACGTTAATATAATTTGAAAAAATGAGCCAAAAATCAAAATTAATCACATTTTTAACACTTAATTTGCTGATGAATAGTAGTATAGTGTTTGTATACTACTGTAGTATGCCGTATGTGCCGTATATTTAGTGCCAATTCATTAAAAAATATTTATTATACCATTAATTCCTATAGTAATCACCAGCAATAGCTCTCTCTCTCTCTCTCTCACTCACTCACACACACACGAAGTCACACTAAAACTATTAATTTTATTAAAGTTTTAAACTCAATGGTGTAAAAAACATTTTTTTGAAAACTTTTGTTTAATAAATTTTGATAAATTAGTCTGGTGTTTAAAATAACAGTAATTTTATATTACATTTTGTGCCAATTTTTATTTTATACTGTTTTACTAATAATTCAATACTGTAAAGCTAGTTCGGTACACATAAACTGAGCACGATATATTAAATAATGTAATTTGTATTGTAGTATAGATTTCGGTAGTAATTTATTTATATCACTTTGTATATAAGTTACAGTATTATTCCGTGAATACTTGTGTAAACAAAAATATTGTTAATTTATGAGGTTATTACTTGGGAAGTGAATGTTTATTAAAATTTTAAACACAATAACAAAACCTATTAATATAAATTTTAGGGTAGAAATGAGCATATTTTAAAAATTATTTTCTTGAGTCATGTACTTACTAATAAATCTATTTATAACTATTGTTTTTACAGTTTTATTTTATAATTTTACATTTATGCAGTTCCAAATATTTTTTCAATTATTTTCCTAATTAATTAATATAACTATTTTTTAAAATTACTATAACATGATACTTTGGTTAATTCAATAAATTAACTGACACACGTGGATATTACTAATAATAATTTATAGACATTACCAAATATATTTCAATTTCAATGTCAATGCTATCATCTTGTATATCATTACTATTTAATATAAAAACATAATTTATTTAATCAAAACTAGTATTAGTATTATTTTATTGAATAATCCTTACCGAAGGCCAGTAGATATCCTTAAGAAATATAATTAATTATAAATTATTCATGAATTACATAATACAGTGATTTCCCTGTATTCATATAAATATATTATTAGTTGCATACAATCCCTTATAAATATCTTATAAATTAATATGTTTACTCAATAGTAGACAACAATTTCTAATAAACCACTATTTTATAAAAGTTTCAAAAAATTATTTTTTTAAATCATGATATGTACAAAGTTTGTAAAAATATTAATATTTGTAGTAGTTACCTGGGTCACAATTAATGGCGACATTGACCTTAATGCTGCTGATGATGATGATCTAGCACCGTTACCCCCAAATATAACCAACATCACCGTGGAATTGATACTAAACACCACGGGCACTTTGAATGCAACTAGCTCACCAGTATTAAGCGACATAGCCAACACGTCTACAAGCTACTCAAGCAACTTAACTACATTACCTGATATTATTGTAACAAGCAAGCCAATTAACACCACAACCACAACTAAACCTGATGATATAACCACAATATCACCCAATGGCACCTCCACTACAGAAAACACCACCGATTTATGGGAAAGTAAACCCTTAGAGGAAATATGTGGAATACCGGGTATCAAAACACGTATAATCGGGGGCCGTAAAGCAAAACCGAACCGATACCCATGGATGGTGGGCATAAAAAGGCCATCAGGCACAAGTACGTTTTGTGGGGGCGCCCTAATTCACCCGCAGTACGTACTAACAGCAGCCCATTGTCTCAAATCGGGATTTTGGACTAATAAGCCCGAGGATATAAAAATAACGGTAGGCGCCCACGACCTTACAAAAACTGAATCGTCGGCCAGGGATCACGAGGTGGAGGCCATACGTATCCACGAAAACTATACGGGCACCGCCAACGGCCACGACATAGCAGTTATTAAACTGAAAACTAGGGTTAAGTTAGGCCCACGAGTGCTGCCCATATGTTTACCCCCGGAGAACAGTACGGATTACGTGGGCGAGGAGGCTATGCTGGCCGGTTGGGGCCGAACGGCTGAGGGCGGGGAGGGTAGCCCTGTGTTGATGGAGGTGCCGGTCCTCGTGTGGAATAACAGTGCCTGCGATGAGAGTCTGACGGAGCATAAGATTATGTCGAGTATGTTATGCGCCGGTGATAGGGCTGGCGGTAAGGATAGTTGTCAGGGAGACTCAGGCGGGCCGTTGATGGTAAATTCCCAGAATGAGGATAGGTGGGTGCTCATTGGGGTCGTGTCGTGGGGTGTAGGGTGTGGGCGACCTAACTCACCCGGTATTAATACCAGGGTTAGTGATTACATTGATTGGATTCGTGAGAATACTAGTGATGATTGAATATAAATTTATTTGAAATATTCTGTAATACAGTAATTGTATAGTAATTAATTGTTTTTGTAAATGAATATAATAACTTTATGTTAAAACATTACGTAATACTTATTAATGTTGTAACTTTATTTTCTATCTGTCATAATATTATTAGTCTGTAAAAAATATTATTTTGTTAATTATTTTTGAAATTATTTTTCAATGATTTTCCTATTCATAAGCACTGAGAATCAAACGCAAAGAATCTTTTAACAAAATAAATGAAAAAAATTTCTTTTTGTTATTACAGTGAATGTGAATAAAATGATTATATTTCATAACAATAATAACCACTTGATTATGTCATTTGCAGCGGAAAACAGTACTGATATGTCTATTATTATCTAATTATCTAATTTCCATGAT